GCTGTGCCCCAGCCACTGCTGCCCACGGCCACGGGGTGAGGTCGGGGCCCGGACGTCGCCTGCTGGCCGGGGACTGATACCTGTGTCGCCCTGGTCTGCTTCATTGGCCCCTTTCTCTGGGCTCTCTCTGCCCCCTCCCCCACTTCAGGCTACTCTCAGGGCGTCCTGCAGGTGGAGCTCAGGGAGAAGGGCCAGGGCTCACCTGTCTGTCCTTCCCCACCTCCCAGGACGGAGAGAGCTCACTTACACCCCCCCCTAGGGGGACGAGTTGGGAGTACAGGGACGGGTGGGGGGACAGGGACGCGTGGGGACTTAGCTGCAACCGGACGTGCTTTAGGTCATGACGCCTTTTGCTTTTTAAAATATATTTGATTGATAATGAGGAATTTAAAATGTGGCTGCACAATGAAAGTTCCAAAGAAAAAGCAATTTGTCGGTCTTAACAAAGCTAGCACAAATTAAGGGTCAGACCCTGAGGCAGGCAGCCAGGTTCTGTGGGCGCCTGTGTTGGAATAAAGGGGCAGAAACGCCTACTGGCTTGGAGGAAACTGCCTTCTGTTCATTCCTTCATTCATTCAGATCTTTTTAAGATTTTGCCATGGGGCCCATGTGTTCGCTGGAGAGAGGGAAAGTGAGAAATTACTCCCAAAGGGGGATGGCCACACCACAATCCCTTCTTCAGTCTCCTCTCGGGATTTTGGACACATGAACACTTGTGTCTGGTGGGATTTTCAAGCCAGCAGGTCTGGGACTCAAACTGGTCGGCCGTGTGGGAGTCCAGCACCTCAAGCACCACCCCACCTGCTGACCCAACAGGCTTCCTTCAAACTGCAAGGAGGCTCATCTGGAAAGGCCCTCCCTGGCCAGATGTAACAGAGGACGCCTTAGGGAGGAGGAGGACAGAACTGAGCTGGAGTCTGTCAGCTGAAGGTCTCAAGAACGGGTTTTGGCCTGGGAGTAACATGTGAATGTCTCACCTTTCATGACCCGCCCCCTAGGGGGACGAGTTGGGAGTACAGGGATAGGTGGGGATACAGGGACGCGTGGGGACTTAGCTGCAACAGGACTTGCTTTAGGTCATGACGCCTTTTGCTTTTTAAAATATATTTGATTGATAATGAGGAATTTAAAATGTGGCTGCACAATGAAAGTTCCAAAGAAAAAGCAATTTGTCGGTCTTAACAAA